GAATCTACGTAATGAGCTTCACAAGAAAACGGTGAATCACTTGGTCCAAAACTACGATGTCGTGATCATACCTGAATCCAATGTAACGAACAAGATCGACGAAAAAATCAATTCGAAAGTGGTTTGGAGCATGGTCACATATTATGAATTCCGGTAGCGGCTGAAACACAAGCCGAGGAAACAGGCGCAATGGTAATCATCCAGGATGAGGCGTACACCTTCAAGACTTGCGGCTATTGTGGGAACATACGCGGAAGAAGAGTTTATAAATGCGGAATTGTCATACGGTTATGGACAGGGACGTAAACATGTTACAATCCATCCGAAATAAGAAAAAAAAAAACGAATTTTATAGAGTTAATATAATGATAATATTGTCGCCATTAAACGTCTAAATGCTCATATGGGGCATACTGCAACAAACCGGGCAAAGTGAACATAATAATAATGAATGTATCAATAATTAAAAAACAGCTCTCTCTCAACTCGCACTCATCCTTCCGAATGGAGTCGGGTTATGACTTAAATGCGTCAAAAAAAACAAGCTATTTTTGCTTATCTTATTGTATCTCAAGGATCCAGAGAATCTACTATCGCATATATAATTAACTACAGTATATTGACTTAATACGATTTGCCATTTGTAAACTCGTATTCCATTTTATTCGTTTAAATTAATATGCAAAGAAAGATATTATTGGTCTTACTGGTATTGAAGCATATTCAAAATAAATATTTTAAGTAATAGATCGAGGCTGTATTGTTTAAAAATCGCCAGAAAGCGTAACGTATTCAGATAATCTTATAAGAATTTGGCTTATTATTATTATTATTATTATTATTATTATTATTATATAAAGAAACTATGTATTTGGATAATACGGTCACCGAAAAGGTAGCGAGTTGCATTCATGTCTTGCTGTACGATATTAAATTTTCTAAAAAGAGTTCTTTAATATATTGTTTTAATTACAGATAATCGACTTTTTAACTTGAAACATTAGATGTATCAACTATATACACAGTAAAACGAATTGCTCGTTACATCGGACTATTCGTTAAAGCAGACTCTATTTCTAGAATATATGAATGAAACGAAAGCCATCTTTGTTAAAACGGACTTTGCGCTACCCCTTCTCCCAAGAATCAGACAACAACCTTTCTTCTCTATCTTTCTCTGCCAGTATTCTGCAATCGAAGAAATTTTTATTCTTTTGCTGCGGCAAATTCCCTACTGAGAAAATATCATTGCTTGAATAGTACCCGGGTTAGTCAATAGAAGCATGCTACTATTTATTGTTGCCTAAAAGTTATTTGATGTGCACTAATTGGCCACTAACAAAGCTTTTCAGCATCGATAACCTTTTTGCTTTGACATCAAGCTAAAACCATCGACGCCGTAATAGGTTAGCATGCTAAAAACGCCTGGTTACGGGTGTTGAATAGTTCTAAATATAAAGATAATTTTTGAATGTCGACATTCATAATAACCTGCAAATCACGTTTAGCTGGCGTGTGGCCCACGCGATAATGTCAAACACACATGGAATATGGCTAGTAATAAAAGATTAGATTGTATGTCAAAATTAGGGAAATTAGGACCTGTCATACAGCTCATCCACATTATAATTGCACCCTTGTAATATGATGTCTAACTTGTCATGTTACGGTCTTTGTAGTGAATTTAAACTCTTTTATAATTCTTCCTTCCTGCACGATTAGTATGTTTTGCTCGTATACCGATACGTATAACGTTTATTATGAGGTTTTAGAATTAGGATAACAATATATATATATTGAGTATAAAAGCACAGTGAATCGGTGGTCAACCACGAAATCTTTATTTATACGTTTAGTAATCCATAAAGCAAATAAGGGTGTAAAACCAGCCTCTAATCGTAGGGCATAATATTTGTTTCCATTGCTAGATAAAATGAGGTAAGGCTGATTCGTATACTATTTTCAAATGAGGTATTTATTTACAGTGCACTGAGATGATGCGACGTTAAAGTTATGTCAAATTGGTTGTGTTGCAATAAAGAAAGTAAAGATACATGTCACCATTACTTTCGAATAATCGCCCCGATTATTTTGATAACTAATCATTCTGTCAAATGAAAATTGCCCAAATTTAGATTTTGTGGTCATTAAATCCGCTTAAACCCGAAATCCGATGATCATCCCGAGCTGACGAAAAAGATGAGCGTTTGATAATATCGCCATTCATCCGATGTAGAAGTTTTGTGAAGATGCTTTCTTGGCACTATAGTCTTGGATGACTAATAAGCGTTAGCCATCCTGCCGAATAAAATAAAAAGTATTATTTGTATGCAATTACTTTTGCATTGTATTTTTTTGGATTTGGTGTTTGTTGATCAATGGAAATGGAAATATCTGGTATAGTTCAGTCGAGCTACCAAAGACATCAAGATCGCGGCATACGATAATTACTGTTAGTTTTTTACGATTCATACCATATCCGTTGAAGATTGAATAAACTGCATAAAAACCGCTTCGCATCTGATAACAAGGGAATGCCCCGATTGGTTTATACTTAGCAAACAAACAACAGTCAGAAGGATTGTTCAAAAGAGGTTTTATCGTGCTTTCCGATTAACAATATACGAATCAATTGACTAAAAAACTAATCGCGGCGTGGAATACACACACAGTCGTTCTTGTGATGACGAGGAAAGTAACATACAGGTTCGTATAATCTCTATATTAATGTATATTGTGACTTTTACAAGAATCACTTTTCGCTTGATATTGTTGTTGCTCTATGACTTTCACCACAAGAAGTGGAGAGAAACACGCATGCATTAAATTATGACGAAATAGATTGATAGTATAACTTAAAAAGGAATCTCGGTGTTAATTCCACGAATTGGAAGGAAAGAAGGTATGATTATTGTATCTTAAAGAATAAATTCGTTGCAATAGATCAGAGTCGATGATAAAGTTTCACCCTGGTTAGTTTATTCATGAGAAGGGAAAAATCTTCTAATCTTGTGATTATGACATGTACATATAAAATTTATGTAAAGTCATATAACAAAGACGACTAACGATTACTCAAGTCAGTATGAATGGGAATTTCCAGTGTAAATATTCGGGTTGGGTTTGACGTTTGTAATAGATCTGCTGACCATCGGAGTTGATACATAAAAAGATAACTTGTCCAATGACAGATGGGGGGAACGGGGCGGAGGTTTGAGTGCGGGACGATTCGGATTCTAATATTCCTTGTGATTGATGATCGTCTAGCTCAAGTATAAAGAATAGTCAATAATTTACACCTGTCATGACGTCTTTGGAAAGTTATTCGGCAAAATTATAATTTCAAAGAAATTTCTCGTCCCTGATGTCAATTGACAGGCATACTACTAGTTATAATATCTTTGCGAAAATTTAACTCTTCTACCGTCGAGAAATTTGATCACTTGTAAATGGGAGATTCAAAATTAAATAAAAAACCCATTAAGCGTATAAACAGCCAACAATTCAATGTTACATTATGCAGTTAAATGCAACAATACAACTTGCAATTACAGATAACATGCGAAGGATAAAAAAGAAATTAATTATTTGAGTGTTTACATCCGTGATGAGATATGACGTGACCTACGCTACCTTTTCTAATCTCACCCGACTTCGGAGAAAATTTATGGCTGCGTTCGTAGTCAATCTCGTGCTCAGTGTTTGCTTAATGAGAAGAAAGATAGACGTAGAACATGTAAAAAGAAAAAATGACGACATCCTAACCTACATCACGTTGACAAAAGTGGTTTGGACTCGTTTTAAAATCTACTTGTGGATAATGTTATTGTTTCATCATAGCATTCCCAATATTAGATCGAGTTTTATGTCATTTTTCGGTATGAGATTACATCTAGGGATCAGTGTATACTATATGGCAGTTTAGGTAATGTCAATGGTAAAGTCATCTGGCTTAGCTTCTTGATTCGGAATATCTCGGCAGAATTCAAATTGATAGTAAACTAGAAGGCATTCAACTCCGTAATTTTGCGTTCTGTCAGAAAAGAAGCCGATCGTTTCCTTTTTGATGTGATGTAGAACTAACTGTATATGAGCAAATAAAGAATGTCTTCCCAGATAATAAAATAACGTAATATATACATATAAGATAACCTCCGTATCGGGCCATTCGATTATTAGCCATAATGGCCGTGTACAAATCGTCTTTTGATATCTCGTCAGTAGATGTACGTACCCCTCAAGATTTCATGCTATTTATCATTTTGCTGTGACTAGGTAATCATATGAACTTGTCTATTCGACCGATTAGGTTTAAACGTTTAATGGGCATCAATGGCATATACATATATATACAATGGCAAGAAATATATATATATGTGTATATATATACAACACGCAGGAATACTTTGACAAATCTTGGAAAAAACCTCGAGTCGTTTGTATTAACAGAAACCGTGGCTGACCGGAGTGCCAGCACCTTTTTATTCTTATTTTCCATTGTATATTATAATCAAAAACCATTGTATATTATATTATTCGTATTATAAAATCCATTCACATTAAAATATTGACTTTTCACTCGACGCTGTACGATATTGTAAAGCAACATCAAAAGCAACATCAAAAACATCCACATTAATATCAACAGTAAGAATCACAATAACGCAGCTCATACAATATTCCACAATGACACAAACGAAATCTACTACTAGTATACATGAATCTTCCACATCAATTTCGTTTGCCTTCACTCCACCCGACAACGATGACTCTTCTTCCTTCTACACGCCTAATTCGTCCCGACCAGCATCACTACACTCTTCTCCCATCCCTTCGCCCTCAACTTCTCCAAAAACCTGCACATTATTCTCATCTTTACAATCGCTTCGTAAATCACAGTCGAAACTCGGTGACAACATTAATAATTCAGACTTAACCTGGGAGGCTTTTATTTACATGTATGCTCGAGGAATGTTTGATCCGTTGAGCATTCCCAAGAAACCTGGGATGATGGACGATGGAAAGCCATTGGGAAAGAGGAATAGCTGTCCAGAAGTTTTGGATTTGAGTGAAGAAAATGGTGTTGCAATTATGTATAAAACTAAAGATTGTAAACTTGAAAAGCGCAAAACAACAGAATTCCGTAGTGTCAAAGAAATGCCCAAGGATAGCTGTGTCACAGAGAGCAAAAGAAGAGACCATGAGAAGGAATATGATATTGGGAAAATTTGGGAAAAAATAATGAGCGAAAGTCGTAATACAACCACAGAAGCGAATGAAGACACAGATAATGAAGAAATGGAATATCTAGAACCGCCCATGCCACCAAACGAAGATGAGCGGCGCAGAGCACTGTAAGTGTTGTTATCGTAATTATTTATTCCACCCATTTTTCCTTTCACCAGACTTGTTAACCCAAATATTTCATCCATAATCACAGCTGGCGCTTCCAAATCCTCAATACGCCTCCAGATGAAAATTTTAATCGCATTGTCTCGCTCGCCAAAAATCACTTCAAAGTACAGAACGCGTCCATTTGTCTAGTCAACACAGACCACCAATGGTATAAAGCCGGACATGAATCTGGGTTCTGGCAAACTAGTCGTGCTGCGAGTTTCTCGGGCCATGCTATCCTACAAAAGGATGGTGAGCCTTTGGTTGTACAAGACGCCACATTGGATTGGCGATTCAAAAGGAACCCACTAGTGCTGGGTCCGCCATATATTCGATTCTATGCTGGGGCAGCATTGCGCACCAAAGATGGTTACAACATAGGAACGCTGTGCTTAACTGACGACACCCCAAGACATGATTTTGACGAGGAAGCTCTAAGAACGTTAAAGGAATTTTCAAAAATAGTAGTCCGGGAGTTGGAACTATGGTCGGACAAAATTCGTCTAGGAGCACGCAATAAAATGCTGCAATCCATTGCCGAGTTTAGCAAGTTCAGCCTCGTCCACATAAAAGCTCAGCTAGCATCTTCCGACAAGCACAAAGCCCCTTGGTCTCCATCTCCAGAAGCGTTCACACCGTTCGATGATCCCATAATTCAAAAATGCTTTGACCTTGCTGTGAAACTCATGCGGGAAACTCTCGATGTCGATGCTGTGTACTTGCTCGAAATGCCTTCATTATATCATTTCGTCACAACACGCATGGGGAGCGAATTCGCGTTAGAATGGAATGGCTCGGTCGAAGCGGGAGAGAAACAAAAACCGTATTTGAGATTTCTTGCATCTACTGGACTGGAACTTTCTCCTCACACGCTCACAACAGAGGCGACAACAGAGTTTCTTTTACATGTTGTGCACACTCATGAACAGGGTTACATATTCCAAAACGCCCTACCACCAATTCCTGCTCTATTTCCGTCGCATATGCAATCAGGCATCGTCGTTCCAGTCTACGGCAGCTCCAATCGTGCTTTTGGCTTTATAATCGCATTAACCAAAGACCGATTGCGACAATTCGACGATGAAGAAAGAGTATACCTTGGAGACTTTGGTGTAAACATAGCGAGCGAAGTCTTAAAGCGAAGAGTTATTGTAGCGGATAGGGCAAAAAGTGCCTTTGTCAGTTCGATAAGTCACGAATTGCGCACGCCGTTGCATTGTATCCTAGGAAGTTGTGAGTTGTTGGACGATAGTCAGCTATCGGATACACAGAAAGAATTACTGTGTACGATTCAAGGATGTGGGGTAAACTTGATTTCGATTGTCAATAGCGTGTTGGAATATGTAAAGCTGGATGGCGATCATGATTTAGCGATAGGAATGCCGGCAAACGACCCAATGCCTTCCCCACCCGAAGATTTCTCGCCAGATCGCCCGCCATCTAGTTACATAATAAGGAATACTGGACATGCTCCTATTATGCCGGTCCCTCCTGTCATTATAAATTCGCCTTCCAAGCTGCGCTCTGTCAATTTAATCAGACTTCTTGAAGACGTTGCTGAGGCTTGTGTTGTCGGCCAACAAATGCTCTCTGTCATTTACAATAAACCAACTTCCGAGTCCAATCTCACAACGCATGCAAGAAGGAAAAGCTTGATGGCATTGTTGAATAGTAACCGTGAAGGTAGGTGCGAAGACGATAATGTCGAACTGTTTCTGGATGTGGAGAAGAGAGAGCGCGGCTGGAACGTTCTTGCTGACGATGGAAATATAAGGTTAATTTTAGTGAATGTGAGTATATAAGAAGACAAGAGGTGAAGAAAGTGGGTGAAATGAGGGGTATGAGATATGATCACTAACTTTATGCGTTTATACTGTTTATTTCAGATTATTGGGTAAGCGTTTCAAAATCCGTTTCGTATTTTCAGTCTTGGTCCAAAACCAACTGCTAAAATAATCTTGTATATCTCTCATTATACCGTAGTAACGCACTAAAATTCACTTCCAAAGGCTACGTCCATCTATCTCTAACTTCCGTTCCAGTACAAACATCCCCTGATCAAGGTGTCTCTTTGTCAAATCGCATCAAAGTCCTTTTTACTATAACGGATACCGGTCATGGTATATCGCCTCAATTTCTCACGACAGAGCTATTTCAACCTTTTTCTCAAGAGGATTCCCTCAGAGTTGGTACTGGACTGGGGCTGAGTATTGTCCGATCGCTAGTTGAGAAATTGAATGGAAAATTGGATGTCAAGAGTACGTTGGGAGTTGGAACTAGCGTGAAAATATGGCTGGAATTTGAAGAAACTAAGCAAAAGGTGGATGATGAGGCAGAGAAGACGTTAAGAGAACAATTCTATGATGATATGAAAAACCAAACAGTACTGTTTAAAGGCTTTCCAGATAAATTCCAAGAAGTATTTGAAAGATATTTCACAACTTGGCTCAATGTCAAGAAAATCGTCACGGACAACTCTTCATTCTTCAACAAACCTGATCCCCATATAATCCTAATCAACAATGACCTCGATGTTTTAACAAAGCTTATGTCGTCCTTTGCAAACACATATTCTCGACGCTCATCCTTTTCACGGCCACGGGAGAGAAGTAGTTCACGTCCGATGGTTATTTTCATTACAACGCTTGCAAAACATGCGCAAGTTTCACGCGCTATCAAGGATACGCAGCTGCAAGTGGAGTCTCTCGAAAAGTTGCAGGATGGATTTGAAGAAAATTCAACGAGAAAATGGATCGTAGTGGTCGTTCCGACGCCCATTGGGCCAAACAAGATTGAACAAGCTGTTCTGAATTGTCTTAGAATGGCCAAATCAGAGGAACGTGTTGCCTCTCATGAAAATACTACGCAATTTAGTCCAGGGTCTTCCGACCCAGTTTCTGATGACATGTCAACAACATCGCCTCGTGTGTCATTACTATCGAAACCGCGGGCTGTGACCAATAATCCTTCCGAATCGTCTTCCGAGTTTCGATTTGATGTTCCGACTCAACTAGCACTTCATCATTCAAATACTTGTTTACCCAAGGTTCTGCCTCCTACTGTACATTCATCTTCTCAAAAACGTGCACCGTTCAACTTTACTGGGACTGTTAGCGCATCACAAGGTCCCAAAGTGTTAATAGTTGAGGACAATGCGGTTAATAGAATGATAATTGCAAAGTTTTTGAAAAAGATAGGCGTAGAGTATGAGGAAGCCGAGAATGGTGCAGTGGGGGTGGAGAGGTTTAGAAAGAGAATGGAAGAAGAAACGGTTTTAAGTAGTAATGGGAAAATTGTAAAGAAGGGGTTCGACATAATATTTATGGGTGAGTATATATGTTTAATAGAATAGATTACCTTTTCTCGTATCACCTCGATAATCATACTCAATTCGATCTCAATACAGATATCCAAATGCCGGTAATGAACGGCAACATAGCAACGTCCGAAATACGTAGAATCGAAAAAGAGATAACCGATCGAAGAAATAAACGGGTTAAACGTATTTTGGGCTTCCCTATTCCCATAATGTTCTCGCAGTTTCCGAGAAGTCGTTCCTATCCATACGAGAGTCGATCTCTCATTTTTGCGCTAACGGGTCTAGCAAGTGATGAAGATAAATTATTGGCGTTCGAGAGTGGGGTTGATGATTTTTTGACCAAACCAGTTAGTTTAAAATTGTTAGAGAAAGCGTTGAAAAAATGGACAGAAAGGAAAGAAAAAGAAAATAAAGAGGAGAAAGCAAGAATGGCAGAGGAGGAGGATATGAAAAAAAAGAGAGAGAAGGATAGGAAGAAAAGGGATTATAGGATTGTCTGTGTTATTGGGTAAATATGTTAATCTGTCATAACAAGCGGGACTAGTGTCTGCTATATATAGTTAATATATTGATAACTTCCTTATAAATTTCGATTAAACTAATATGTAATATTAATATTCAACAACTTTTGTGTTAGCCAAGAAAAGATTAATCGTAAAGACAGGGAGACATAAGTAATAAGTTCACAATGTACATAATAATATAATATTAAAAGAGCAGAGATATTAACTTTAATTTCGGTTTACGTGAATCTCTATCACTATTACAATTACTGTGATGTGATAATGATTACACTTTGATCGACAATCAGAAAACTTAAATTCCCATATCCCCGTGATTTAGCATAGTCCACGTGCGTACAATAATCTCTCACAACTATAGTTATCTCTCACGCACAGGTTTAACAAGGAATGATTCACAGCAAATCACTATTGTTCAACATGCAAAGAGAATCCCGCGAATCACGAATCAAACTAGAATCGAAACGAGAATCACAGCATCATATAGGAAGCAGGTCACACTATAGAATAACAAGCAGAAGCATGGTAAACAAATTATGCCATATGGAAGGAAGCTAAAAATGCCAAGGCTGAAAAAAAATGCAATTTTTATTTACAAAACAAAGGTCAATTAACTCCAAATAAGGGACTGCATCGTAAAGCAAACGACGAGTTCGAAATGCAATATAAGGGCAAACCCCCCTCACCCCCCACCCCCCAGAATGACCGTTTCCATTCATTGGTAACTGTCATCAAAGTCCGACATGATTCCACTACAAATGTTCCATTCATTATTACAGCACATAGCTTTCCTGCAGAGACAGAATATCATGCAAATCCTCTTACGTTATAGTACTTTTTCCTGCTTTCCAATACAGTGATATATCTTACAGCTTTCCCTGCTCTTCTCTGATCCCTCTCCTCCCCCTTTTCCATGCTCAAGCCAGGTCGATGCCATTTCACCCCAGTTCCACTGTCAAACACTCTGCTCCCATCTTTGCAAATGCGATAGTAGCTCCCGTCCGCGCAAAAATATTCAAACTCACGTCTCTCTCCCTCTCTCCCGTGGGACACACAAACATGTCCAAGTGGATGAAATGAAATACGAATATTCTGCAGTTGTGGATTAGTTATCGTCGAATAAATCAACGCGCCGTGAGGGTGAAGATGAAGAGGGTAGGAAATGTTGGGAATTGTCTCTGGGCATGGCGGGAGATTTCGAGTTAGGTTGGAGAGAAAATAGCGAGACTTTGGTGCGGACGTAGAGGAAGCCATGCGAGAATGAAAACAGGACGGGTATACGTCGTCCAAAGTGTACTGCTCGTTAAAGTGCTCTTCTATGTACTCTGTGCCACCGTGGAAGCTGCCTGGGTAGTGTATCTCGATATTGTCGTGCCTGCCGTTTAGCAATATTTTATTGGGAGGTGAGTGAGCATGAGTGTACTCTGTGTGTTTGCCTTCGATCGATATGTCTGTTGCTCGATCCTCTTCATCCATATCGTTTGCAACCATATCGTCGTTGTCTTCTTCTACGTTGTCTTCGTCTATACATTCATATTCCGACTCCTCATCATATTCATCGACACAATCGGCGTATTCATATTCACTCGCGTTTTCTGTTATGCTAGCGGTTTCTTGTGCGTCTTCTGTTCCCGTTTCCTCTTCTACCATGTTGACCTCCTCATTCCTTTTTTCTCTATCAGTAACATTCATTCGACTGTTCAACGCGTCACGCTCGTAATCAAACTCGATCCTCTCGCGAGGCGGAGAGTAAACGGGTATGGATGTTAATAGCATCAAATCAAACTCCTCCATTTTGGTTTCGGCGACGAATTTTCTACGCTCTATGCTTGCCATTTTTCTAAGGAGACTGATCAACTCGGGGGGGTGGTGAACCCTGTCAAACTTATATTAATATGGGGCATGCTACACAAACCAAACCATAACGCCACAAACAGTTATCAAGCCACAATGTTCACGAGTGCAGTAATGTCGGAACAATGTAACTTTTGTTGAAAATGTGTTTATAAAGAGGTATGTACAACACTCTCGACCTGCCCGCCGGTACACCTTTAGCGTTCAATCGTAGGTGTAGACAATAAAAGAACGCAAAACTCCAAGCAGGCGCTGCCGACCTTAGCAGAAAGAGAATCGATAGCTATTTAAGAATATCAATATACGGTACAACCATACAACCATACAACCACAGAAGAATATGATAGTAGACATTATAAGCCTTGCGTAAATTTAGTCTGCAAATAATGAACCCTTTAACCGAGTTCACACAGAACGACCCGAGACTGATCTATTCACATAGTTAAGAGCAAGCACGAAAAAAGGTTTGGTGTCGACGACGATGGGGAGGTGCAATTTTACTATTTTTTGATTTTAGACCTATTAGAGCCGATGGTTCGAATATATATGTGGTACATTGACCAGGATTATCTACGACGCGTGTTCGCGACACGTCAATAAGTCTTTACACAGCCACAATCAATGCAAACAGTCCGTGACCTTAGATCATATAAAAATTCCTCTTACATACAAGTGCTGACGTTAGGCTGTCCTTGTTATTGGAAGTAACGACGCAAAGACTGGCTAATATATGTCTGCTCGAGCAGGAGGTTACGGTCAGAGTAGTGTAGCTAGTAGTTCAACCGTAAGTTCGCCAACGAAACGCCCTCGTAAAAGTGGAAGTAAACGTAAGGTCTCGCGGCGGCGTACTCAGGTTCGTAACTTTTGCAATAAATGTAGAACTATACTTATCATGAAGAGTTTATGTGGTGCACTCTGCCGATGAGTGGCTCTGAAGATTGGTAGTCGTCCAAGCTTTGTGCTGAGAAGGCGCCTAAACTCACTACGAAGGGATTTCTATCTATCAAACTAGGCCTAACAAATGTAGTGCTTTTACACCACACAAAGTATATCGGCGTGGCGGCCGACACAAAGATAATACTTTGCACCCACCGAATCATATTAATATATTATCGTATTATTATATATTACATATTGCTAAAACTAATACTGCCTTGGTATTTGAAGGAATCAATTTCTTGACGGCAACAATTTGTCGAGTACATAATAGTTAGTCTGAAAAAATCCACGTATGCGAATCTCTGTTATGAATCTTCTTTGCTGACTGTATTTATAATTAACGGTCAGTCTAAATACGCATTCAATCCTTCCCGGCAGAGAAAACACGAAACGCACGTTAAAAAGGCAATTAAAATCCCCCAGACGTTGCTTTATGGCTTATCGGACGTAGTCGGATTCGATACGTACTGAGTTTGATGTCACCATTAAGGGCAAGAAGCACGTTATCACTTGTTAAAAAGTTAGAATAACGATTATATATACATTGCCATTTGAAGTCGCGGGCACGACCAATGAAACCATCTATTTTGCGTTTGCCGTTTATGGCTTATCGGACCAAGGATGACAACGATCTGTGCAACTTTGGAACAATAGCTGTCTCCTTTCAACATGAACATTGACGACCTTTTAGACGACATTTTCAAAATCGAAAACGGTAAATTATATAAATGTGCCGC